GTCTTTCAACTTTTGTTTTAACTTACTGTCATAGAGTTGTAGGAAACCTCACGTCTCCACTGACTGCTACTGAGAAATAATAAAACACACTTACAATAATCACTTACTTTTTGACTTAAATTGACTTAATTGTCCCTGGATTTTTGCAGCTTCACTGGAAGGGGGCGGGGGGGGGGGGGGGTCCTGGGTCCAACTACAGAATATATGCTTCACATGTTCCCACCTTATTAAAAGGCTGTACATGGAGAGAAGCAACCAATCACATTTACATTCCCAGCTCTTCTAGAAACTAGTGATGCATCAAAAACATAAAAGCTCAACACAGACCACTACACTGTCGCACAGAACCCTGGATTTTAGATTTAATCAATAATCTACCAATCACAGGTCTGGGTAGTTTTCTGAGAGTAACTCTACCTACGTATCACACCAAAGCAGAAAACAAAGTATTTTTAAATGTACTTTGATACTCTCAGAACTCCTTTCTACAGACAACTCACCGGAAACCCCGATTCTTGGGTTTACAGTGTGCTTGACACTTTTGGTCAAACCAACCCCGCTCCACCACAACAGCTGGGGGAGGATTTCCGAGCCCGTGTCCGCGAACACGGTGGCGGCTACAGGAGGTGGAGTTCGCCCGAAGCAGATGCCAAAGCTCTCGCAAACTCCGGCTGCAGCTCTGCTTTTAATTTCGCTGCCAAAGCCTTCAGAGAGACGCCGTGTGAGGGGGGAAAGGGTGGCAACCAGAGGCGGACGGAAGAGGACGCACCACAGCCAGTGCGCACAGTGTTGTGTTGGTTGGAAACATGCATGCCTGCGAAAACTGGAGCCATCCAGACCTGGGGAGACTCGTCAAAAGTGGTCGTCGCTGTTAAGGAGGTGCCTTTTAACACCCAGGAGAAAAATCAATGGGGGTTTCCTGCGTTGCTCTGGAGATTTTCTTCTTCTTTGCTCTGAGGGAATGCGAGGGCAGGAAATCCAGCCTCTGCTCCAAATAACCACAGACTTCTAACTGGGTCTCACTCCAAACGCAGGAAATACGGCCTGGGAAAAAAAGTTAAGGAGCTTTTGGAAACAAGAGGGGGATCTTTTTTATCGCTGACGTTTTGCGTGCGCTTTACGACCTGGTTGTGTGTATACGTGTGTGTGTGTGTGTGTGTCAATCGCTCCTGTTATTCCAGACAGAGTTGAAAAGACATTCAGGAGTTACACGCTGCTGCTGCTGTTGTTATTGCAAGAGTTTTGATCATCACTATTTATAGAGCAACCTATTCCGACCGAGGCTGTTCCTCATAGCTGCAGCCTATGGTTTGCCAACTGCGCGCAACAAGTTGCAGACACTCCCAACACGGGCAAACGTGGGCTAAACTTGGGGCAGCGGATGGTATCTGTGCGCTTCTGTTTTCGGACTACGCGTCTCCTAATAGCGCACAGCCCTCCCCGACCCCCTCTTTGGAAGGCAGGAGGGGAATAAACGGTGGAGACCCGGAGAGGCAGTTCAGGAAAGGACGGGGCCGGATCAGTGGGAACAGGCCTGGCTGTCAGGCCTCTCCTGGTGCCGTTCCTGGACCGGACAGGGCTCCAGAATAATCCCGTTTGCAATATTTTGCAAAGGCCTGGTGGATTTATAATGCAAGAAGTGTAAACCATTAAAGAACTCCTTTAGGTGAAATACAGGGAGTTGAGGAGATGAATTGATCTAAATTTCAAACCACCCACATTTCCCTTTTTACCCCACAGTTATACCTGGCTGCATGTAGAAACGACCACCACTGTATGTAGCTACTTTTTTTTAAATGTTTTCTTTCCACCATAACTTTAACCGTTGAACGGTGGATGATTTCATACTTTCCTTCCCCGTATTTGTGTCTGACCACTACCAGCTGTTCCTGCCCACTCCACACTGGGGCATTTCTAACAACAGGACCGACGGCGGAACCCACGGTTAGTCGTGGAGAGAACGGTGACAGAGGAACTTCTGGAGCCACTCACTGTTGACACTAACTGTTCATTCAATGCAGCCATGACATTTAGCTGCCATGTTTTCCTCCTCCCATCTCCTCACTTGTAACTTTATTCCGGAATGAAGACAGCAACAGACTTTTCCCTGAAGCTGCCTGTGTGATGGCAGACCCGTCTAAACACTGCGCACATCCAGCAGAAGTCATTTCCAGTCATGTAACGTCAGAGGCAGAATTGATGGCGGTTTAACCCCCTGGTTGCATCACTGACCAGCGCTTTTCCGAGAAGGATGTTCAATTCAGGGGGCTGAGGAGCGAGGACAAAGCCGGGCTCTAACTCTTGGGTGAAGGATACATGTAACGTGAGTAGTGACGCGAACCCGGGCACGGATAATGAGCTGCTCAAGAAAGTAGAACGGTGTCCGTCGTGTGAGTGACAGTCCAGGTTGTTGTGTGCGTAGAGGACACTTGTCTGTGATGCGTACCGTTCATGCAGAGTGACAACTTAAGCAGACGCCGTTGCTGCCCCCCCTCCCCGCCCCCCGCCCTCTAACTGTCTGCCTGTCACTGTCACCTCTCCTCCTCTCGCTGGTTGTGCTGCGCGCGACGCCTATGCAAACGTCAATATTGTAGATTTTAATTTTTCATACTCAAATCCTGCCTTTCTTTTTTTTTTTTTTTTGCCACACGTCAGTCAACATGGCTTCGTCGCAGCAGCAGCAGCAGCAGCAGCAGCGACGTCCTCTTATGCGTGGCACTGAAGTCAGCTGTGACTCCAGCGGCGACGGCGCTGTGACCGTGAGAATCGCCAACAGTGCGCCACACGTGCGTCAACATGAGCCGCTGAAGGCTGCCATGAGTGGAGCGGGGGGCGACCCAGCCCCCCATAAATACAGCATCTCATCCAGCGGCAGCTCAGCTGAGTCCAGACCGGTGGGGACCTCCACCTTGAGGGAGCACAGAAAGGCACCGCCCCTGTTTGAACGCTCAGCTGCCCAGTGCTGGGACCCCAAATTTGACTCCTCCATCCTGGAGGAAGCATGTCAAGAGAGGTGCTTTCCTCAGACACAGCGCCGGTTCCGCTATGTGCTCTTCTACCTTGCAGTGGCAACCGTACTCTGGGGGGTCTATTTTGGGGTCAACAGTGAACGTTGTGACCCGTTGACCTTCCTGGCTCCCACGGTCTCCTTTTTGACCCTGTTAGTGCTCCTCTTTTTGTTTACTTTTACCCAGCCTTACACATGGATGTTCAATCAGGCCTCCTTACTCCTAATTGCAGTCACCTTTGCCATTACATTAGCCCCACAAGTACAAACTGCTGGTTATACGGAGCTGGAGTGGACCAGTGACGGGAATACCTCATATCACTCCACAGATGAACTAGGAAAATCTACAACTCACTGCATTTCCCCTGTTGGCACATTCTCCCTGTGCATGGAGGTTCTTCTTCTGTTGTACAGTGTCCTACATGTGCGTTTGTACGCCTCAGTGATGCTTGGACTTCTCTACTCGATATTATTCGAGGCATTAGGATGGCTACCATTGCTTCAAAACAATTCAAACACAGCCAGATGGCACACGGACCTGACCGGTTCCAGCCCTGATTGGGGAGGGCACACACTCCGCTGGCTGGCTCCGGCCAAAGCTCTGCTCCACTTGTGTGCCCATGTCATCGGCATCCATATTTTTATCATGTCAGAGGTTCGTTCCCGCAGTACTTTCCTCAAAGTGGGCCAAGCCATTATGCATGGCAAAGACTTGGGGGTGGAGAAGGCCTTGAAGGAGCGAATGATTCACTCAGTCATGCCGCGGCGAGTTGCAGATGAACTGATGAAGCAAGGAGATGATGAGGGCTGCAATGAGAACTCTGGCAAGCGCTATTCCTCCGGTGCTTGCTCTGCCTCGGCTGTCTCAGTTGGCGGAGTGGGAAGCTGTGGAGCTTCACAAACCCAGAGTTCCACCAGCCCCAAAAATCACTCCCACAACAACCACAAACGCAAGAAGACCTCCATCCCCAAAGGACAGATAATATTCAGGCCCTTCAATATGAAACGCATGGAGCCAGTGAGCATCCTCTTCGCAGACATCGTGGGTTTCACCAAAATGTCGGCAAATAAATCTGCGCCAGCTTTGGTGGGCCTTCTCAATGACCTGTTTGGACGTTTTGACCGGCTCTGTGAACTTACTTTTTGTGAAAAGATAAGCACTCTGGGAGACTGCTACTACTGCGTAGCCGGCTGCCCCGAGCCCAGGCCGGACCATGCACACTGCTGCGTAGAGATGGGCCTGGGGATGATTCAGGCCATCGAACAGTTCTGCCAGGAGACGTGTGAGACGGTCAGCATGCGCGTCGGTGTTCATACTGGAACTGTCCTCTGTGGTATCCTTGGAATTAAACGCTTCAAGTTTGACGTGTGGTCAAACGACGTCAACCTGGCCAACCTGATGGAGCAGCTGGGTGTCGCAGGCAAGGTCCACCTGTCAGAAGCCACCTTTCGCTTCCTGGATGACCGTTACCAGTCTGAAGATGGGCGTGTGGCCGAAAGAGCCGGGCACAGTGCGGTGGAGAAGCTCAAAGGTAAGCGCTCATGTTTGACTGGTAATTATTAAATATTAAAGACACAGTGGAAGCTAACTTTTTTCTCAGCTTAAAAGACATATGTAATTATATATATATAATATATAATTCAAATCATATACTGATACAAAATAGAAAATACCTTCACATGGCACCATAGGCCATAACACAGTATATTACAATGTAATATATTATTATCTTCAAGAATTTAACATACAAGTGTTTAATACAAACAAACGAAAAATATAATAAATCCAAATAAGCATATTTTAGTAGAGAGTTTATTCAGACCTTATCGTGACTATCTGTGATCTAAATGGTCATCAGAGTTACACGGGGTCATGACATGCCGAGACAACACACAAATATGTTAACCAACCAGCCGGTCCTGTTAAAACTGTTTACCAACAGAAGCAGGCGATCAGGCTACAAGATCAAGAGATTAGCGCAACAGGAAAAGAGATGTGTTTGGATTCAAATCAACTGGATCTGGTTCAACTTTCTGTAGCAGCCAGTAAATATTAATTGCTACTATCTCATCCTGAAGTATGCCCATCTAAAAATAAACCAACATGTGTCATCTCATACATCAGTATTCACCACCTCCATTTAAACCAATTTTTCAGAGAAGTCTTTTTCACTGTGAGAGAGTTTCTTTTTTCTGTCTTCTTATACTGTATGTATAGCAGTCAGGTGATGACAGAAACACATTTATTTTTATCTGACTGGCTTCGCAAGGAAAATTCATATTTACATTTTCAATTGAATAAATCTGAAACATACCAAGCACAATTAATACAACATTTAAACATAAACGTCTTTCTAAACATTTCTAAACATCTCTCCTGTGGTGGAAGCTAACAGTGAAGGCCTCTGCTGCTGTATTCTAATGTTGGTCATCATGGTGGTACTCAGAGAGATCAGTGTTTTCTCAGGTGGTACTGAGTATAAAAAGTTGGAGAACCACTGATCTAAAGCATTGTTTCCCAAAGACTGGGGCGTGACCCTCAGGTGGGTCGCAAGAGATTTTCTATTTTTTTGGGTCATCTCACATCATGTTTCCCAGGAGTTTACTAATAATATGGGTCGACTTGGGTCGTGAAGGTTTGTGTATTTTAAAATATGTGTCCCCAGAAAAAAAGAAACACTGAGCTAAATGCTAAATTCTAGACCCAATAATCTGGATTACAGTAAGAAATGCCTTGTGATTGAACTGTTGTCAGCTGTTATTATTACAGGCCTTCAAATGTAGGGTAATTGTGTTAAAGAGAAGGACACCGTGACCTGGATACAGTAACTGAGACACTTTAAGGACGTATATTGTGTCAAGTAAACCATGACAAACACTGGACACGAGGAGCAGACAATGCTGTCTCTTAGTGTCACTGTAGCCTTTCAGAGGATGACTGTGGCTTTCTTCTAATAACCAATCACCTTTGTCCACTTATTGGCCCTTGTGGTACAGTGAAATGACTTTTGGCTTCCTCTCATCGTCCTCTTTCTGTCTGCTGCTGTTTTTCCACATCTGAACTATAAAATAGTAAAAAGATATATTTAATTTCACTCTAACTCAGAGAGATATTCTCAGTTGTCTCATTTGCTGGGTAATACCATGAGTGGAATGTTTTAAAGATTGTTTTCTTTAGTTTTTATTTCAGTTCCCCTTGTTACTCTGGCTGACCTCTGGTTCTTTACCTTTCACACTCCACGTCTCTCTCTGTGCTTTTCATCCTTCTTTTGTTGTTATCGCATTTACTGCCTGTTGTGCAACACTGTCTGTGGTCTGACACAGCTTTTAGATACTGCAGCTCTTGCAGCAGATTCAAAGAGTCTGCTAAAAATGTTTTCAACATTTAACAGTGCAAAAATATTTGTAAATGTCTTCTTCAAAAAACAGTTTTTCAGCTGCTGATATCCTCTGGTTGAATGAATGCATGGATTGTAGGGGATGATGCAGAGGCAAACATCATGGCAAACATTCAAATGCAGACGAGGCGTCACAGCTTCAGTGATAAATGTAGAATTATGTAGGCATATGAAGGTAGGAACTCAGATTTGTGTCAAAACGGGGGAAATTATGATGACGAAAAGCTTTAAAGAACGTTACACCCTTTTAAATATGAGTTGTGTAAGCTGCTTAAAAGCCTAACAATAACACACATCTGATCCCCGACACGTGAGTGAGGTGGAACAATGTGATTTTACTCTGATGTCTACTGCTTCCCAAATATTTTAACCTGACTCCCATAAAAGAAAACAAATACAAAAAGTTGTCTGTAGCTTTGAAATCACACTTTATTAAAAGAAAACAAATACAAAAAGTTGTTTTTACTTTGTCTGTAGCTTTGAAATCACACTTTTGCTCTTCATGCAAGAAACAAAAGTGAAAGGGTTAAAACATAAAAATGAAAATAAAATACAAGATTCGGCCTAATATTTCCATGCTTTATCTAAGGAAGTGAGATCTAGTTTGGAGCTATGAGAGAACAGTTAGTTCCTCAATCCCTCTGGGTAAAAATATACATAGAAAATACAAAGAAAGACAAAAGTAACTACTATTCTTTTTAATATTTCTATTTTATCAAACTGTTTGGAAAGGGAAGTAAGAAGTAACATTCTGACCAGCAGTTCAGTGTAAACACTTGAACAGGGGACATTCATATTGTTGATACATTTTTCCCTAAAACCTTCCATTAATGAAGGGTTGAAGCTAATTGATAAACTTGTTGGGTTTTTTTGTTGGTTTTTTTTTGCTGATTCATCACAGATCAAAACTCTGCACCGAAAAAATGTTGGATTTGAAACCTGGATGGTTCTAGCAGATTGTTGGCTACTAGCAGCGGGTTTTAAGTTTGGAGAAGTGGTTGAGTTTGGAGATGTTATCCATCAGTGTAAACACCTTTGGTGAACTCTGTCCAGTAACATTCTGAGCTGGTTGAAGTTGTGGCTAAATGTTTTCTTTGTCAGTTTGTGATACTTCCTGTACGTCTTTGTACAAACAGGTCCCTACTTTGCTAAATTGCGCCATGGCGTCCGTGCTTCCGTGCTGGTTGTTATACTACCATTGAAGCATCTGTTAAACAGCAGAACAGCTCTGCCCTCTGTTAGCCTCTTTAGCTACTTCAGCTACCTGAATCATTACTAGACAAATATTTATGAAAAATACTGTCTAGAATTAGTCACTGACAGATACCTAGTTCATAACATGTTCTCTTCCTTTTCATTTTTGGTCATGGAGTGTTGGAATACCTGAATCTCATTCATTGAGACACTGACAGTCATAGCAGATCTGAACTACAGACGTGGCTTTGTGCATCAACCACAGAATGATTTATCACCGAGAGCTTTACAGGCTGTATTTGCATAATGTTATGACAAATATCATAAAACTGTGTGTGTGTTAAGATTTGTCTGTCTATTGTCTAAATAGCGGCGACAATTTGTCAGTGTGGCTGGCAGTTATACTGATCATTGTAGAAGCAATAACTTGATTTCAAGCAGCCCCATATATATTAAGTTCAGTGTTAACTGATGTGTTGACGTTCTAGCCTTTTATCATTCATTAAATGAACCCGAGAAATAACATCACAGTTTTTTGTTTTTTTTTTAATATTGCTTTTACAATTTGCACAGCGAGAGCATGGTTCAGTGGATCGACCTCTGGTTAGGTGGACACTCTGAAGTGAGCATATGTAGGATTTTGAATGTGAATGGTTGGTTCTGTACACAGGGTGTCCTCAGTTACGATGTTGACGAGCTACGGAACGAAATGTGACCTCTGCTTTTAACCCATCACCAAAGTGAACAGTGGGCAGCTTTAAGCTCCCGGGGAGCAGTGTGTGGGGACGGTGCCAAGCACCTCATTGGTAACTAAGCTGGTGGACTCGAACCAGAAACTTTATCATTGAAGACCTTGCTGGTGGACTCAAACCAGAAACTTTATCATTGAAGACCTTTCCCATCATTCGGTTGTATGGTGTTAAAACTTCCCAACTAGTTCACATTGGAACTAGTCAGTGAGCAAAGCGGACAAACACGTTGTCCAAGTTATTCACCAAACATCTTTAATTTAATTCAAATTCTTTAATTTAGTCTCTTTTAGTGTTATTTTTTGGTAACTTTTTTCCCTGCATTATATATCTATATATACATATATATGTATGTATACATATATATACGTATACTGTATATATATATATATATATATATATTTTTTTTTTTTTACCACATTGTATGAAGACTGTATGTTTGACAGTGCAACAAATGAAAAGCTCCCCAGTTCTGGCATAACTTCTTGTCTCCTTTTCTGCTGTATAAACCTCTTCACTTCTTATTAATAATCCCTCCTGTTGTCCCTGCACATCCATGTCTGCTTGATTTGGTGGAACGTTAACCCTGCCGTCACATCTCAACCACCCCACATGTTTCAATACAAGTTTGTCATTCCTGTTGCATAAGAATGTGTTGAGTCAACTGTGTGTGTTCTGAGTTGATAAGCATGCCCAGCCCTGCTTTAGTCTGATTGGAGACGTGTGCACATGCTGTCTCAGGCCATTGATGGACATTGCATGTACGTATATACTGTAGCTTCTATAGCTTGCAGACAAATTGTCGGAAATGGTCCTTGATCTTGGACTTGATAGAGTTGAGTGACTGGTGTGAGTCGACCAGTTCCCTCATGCACAAATGCACGCTGTGTGATGAACAGGTAACAAGTTTAGTGACTTTTTTAAAAATAATATTTTCTTCTCTTTTTGTTACTTAATAACTGCAGTGCTGCCAAAGTAGTAGCTGTAAAACTGAACAACAGCTGACCGTGCTCTCCTTGATTACCTGATAATTAGCTAATTATTATGCATTACAATGGCTGTACATTTTAAGATGTTCAAAAGTACATTTTGTACACATTTCCTTGGCGGGAAACTCCATATCACCTTATCCTTGTGGTCAGTGTAATCTGAGAAGTGTGATATTTGAGGAAAGAGGAGAACAAAAGAGAA